ACGGGAGGGGGAGAGAGGTTTGTGATGTAAACCTCATGCTTGTGATACGTCTTGGCAAAGATGAATATTGTTATGGCCTGGTGACCATGCCTCAACTAAGATTTTCAAACTCCAACTTCAATAATGCATTGAATAGTGTCTCATCTCCTTCTCAAAGCTGCATTTTCTCTCTCCCCAATCCTATGTTGTCTTACTTTGAGGCAGTGTCTGTTGGGGTACAAAGTGTAAACAAAACAAACTTGANACGATTTTTCGACTTCGTCCTATCGACAAAAAAGAGGATCTTTGGACTTGTTTCTTGGTATGTGGATCTCATCATGTTTCTTGTAATGTTGATGTCGATACGTGCATGCTGATTCTTTTGTATTCATAAGAGAATTCTTCATTCATCAAATTCGATTCTTGGCAATGAGGAATTTTTATTTAACTTTCTCTACGCAGGTATACTGGTTCCTATCTCTTGAAATATNCACTTTCAGTTACACTCTTTGCATCATTATTTCTTGATATCAATCAAGTTCTTTGCTTATCTTTCTTTTTCTTCTCNCACTCTTTGCATCATTATTTCTTGATATCAATCAAGTTCTTTGCTTATCTTCCTTTTTCTTCTCAAAAAAAAAGGATGAGTGAACCTCAATTGATAAAACTTNAAAAAAAAAGAAAAAAAAGAAGAAAGGAATGAATTTTTCTGAGAAGCAGGAGAAAGGTGCCAGACATGGGAAAAAAGAAAGAAAAAAGAAGAAAGAGTTGCATTCAACGATTGGACTCCCCTTGAAGATAAAAGTCTTGCTGACAATTGGGCTCCCTCCTTGGATTTATTTGGAAGCATTCTCTGGGTTGCCTAGTCAAGGATTTTGCCGCTTTGAAGATTCAATTTATTGTAATGCATCAAGCTTTGTGCAAGAACTTGTCACTCACTGTACTTCCAAGTTCAATTAGTGGAGATTTGTCGGTCGTGGTTTTTTCCCTCTACATTGGAGGGTTTTCCATGTAAAATCTTTGGTGTTCCTTTGCCTTCTTTGCTTGCTTTACTGCTCTTTTTTCTGTGCGCTTTGGTTCCCTAATTAAGTGCTTATTTGCTAGATGAATTGGTAGTTATATTTGTGGTTCACCTCTATTTGTAGGAGTGCAGATCATCCTCTAAATGATATTTTTTGATCAATTAGATTGGTACTGTAGGTTGGTTGGTAAGCTTGTTGTGGTAGTGCAAAAGTCGAGTCACTAAGATCAGCCATTATTGTGCGTTCGGTTCTATTTAGTATGCTAAAGATGTTTTTTGGTGTTTTGATATCCGAATAAATCCAACAAGTGACTAAGAATCTGTGGTACGTAAAAAGTTGGCTAGTTTTGTTGGAACCTTGGTAATGCTGGTAACAGTTATATTTTATTTTTGTTACTGTTTTGATGCAGTTTTAGTACGGTGATATTGTTTTGCTGCCACTGTTTGAGGCAGTGTCTTTTTTTATTGATCTTCAGCATATATGCCTTGTTCTGCTTTGAATCAATGTTTCCTGTCAGGAAGTTCCTAATATTAATAAAGTTCTTTCGTTTCTCATAAGAAAAGTGCAATGGAAGTCAACAAGCCTGTCCAAGGGTCACCGTGTCTCTTGTTCTCTGGTAATCAGTCATTCTTTCTTCTTCTGCTGTAGATGTTTACTGGCCAGTTTTCTGGTTTGCTAATGTAATAATGTTTTTATAGGTTTGGTAATGAATGTAGTGTTCCTTATTTTCTTGCTGAGTCTGTTTTGATGCAGTTAGGTTATAGTTTTGCTTTATATGACAAGCCTTAAATCACACATTCATGACCAATTTCTTAAGATAAGATTCCTAGATTTGGTTTATTTTTTTAAGTTTCGTTGGTGGTTTTCTGGGCTTCGAGGCATCATCCTCAGAAGTATATTTGTATCACTGCCTTCTTGTTGAGATCTGTCATTCAGTTTTGAGTTTTTTATTAGGTAACGAAATTCTTGTAGATACATGGGGTAGAATTTTGTTGATATAATGTGCTTAAGAAGCCATATGTATACAGCAATTCAATTGTTGGGCACGATGACAACCTACGAAATTGGTATTTCTGGCCGACACAAAATGCTAAAAACAAAACAGTATTTCTAGCAAAAAACAAAATGCTAGAAATTACTCAAAAACCTAGAGGAACATCAAGCAGATTATATGAACCACAAGGATTCATTAGCACAATATTGAAATGCTACCAGAATTGATTCACACTGCAACTGAAATGGATTGTTATGCTTACGGTTCACTGTAAAGATGATTGAGCTTGACTGTTAGCATACTGTATGAGCTAAAAGATGCATTAAAAACTTGCTAGCAGGCTACCTATTGCAGGCTAAATGCAAATCCATAAGGAATGTGACTTAGCATTTTGGATAGATAGAAAATATCTACATAGAATCTTTGGTATTCCTCTGTGTTCTTTGCTTGCCTTATTTGCTCTTTGTTCTATGTGCTTTGGTACTTCAATTAATTGGTTATATGCTAGATGAATTGGTAGTTATTGGTTGATGTTTATTGCTGGGTGTGTAGGTCAATTTCTTTGATAGTCACTCCAACTGAACTTTGTTGATAAACATATTTGTTTCTGCCAAAGCTGTTTGTTGTGCAGTTTTTGGTTTCACATTGAAATAAGTGCTTAGTTTTTTGTTTGACAGTAGTGTTCATTCTAGCATTTGTAAAAAGTGGGTCAGGGGGAGGGGGAAGGGGGAGAGAGGTTTGTGATGTAAGCCTCATGCTTGTGATACGTCTTGGCAAAGATGAATATTGTTATGGCCTGGTGACCATGCCTCAACTAAGATTTTCAAACTCCAACTTCAATAATGCATTGAATAGTGTCTCATCTCCTTCTCAAAGCTGCATTTTCTCTCTCCCCAATCCTATGTTGTCTTACTTTGAGGCAGTGTCTGTTGGGGTACAAAGTGTAAACAAAACAAACTTGAAAATTAACTAACTGACATAATAAAATTACAAATTATATTTTTAACAGTGTCTCTGTTGATATTTTTAACTGGTCAAGAACTTCAGCAGATATGCATATGATCACTTTCAGTTACACTCTTTGCATCATTATTTCTTGATATCAATCAAGTTCTTTGCTTATCTTTCTTTTTCTTCTCAAAAAAAAGGATGAGTGAACCTCAATTGATAAAACTTCGGTCGTAAACTGTATTTGTGCAATAACATTTATGCAAGTTCTCAGCAACCATTTCTCTCTCTGCTTTAAGTTGCAACAATTGTCATATTTCCTCTGTTTTATTTTTTATACTTCAGANTGACAATTGGGCTCCCTCCTTAGATTTATTTGGAAGCATTCTCTGGGTTGCCTAGTCAAGGATTTTGCCGCTTTGAAGATTCAATTTATTGTAATGCATCAAGCTTTGTGCAAGAACTTGTCACTCACTGTACTTCCAAGTTCAATTAGTGGAGATTTGTCGGTCGTGGTTTTTTCCCTCTACATTGGAGGGTTTTCCATNTATATTGGTGTTTCATTTATTCTGGGTCCCATTTCAACTTAAAAAGTGTGCAAAACTTTTNGAAGTATTTGAATTAC